GCCTCGGCGACGAGCCCGAGACCGCCGACCCCGCTGCCGGCGCCGATTCCGACGACGCGATGGACGTCGACCTCGACGAGCTCCTCAAGTCCCTCGGCTGAGCCGCACCCGCGCCCGACCGACCCTCTCACCGCAAGGAATTGCCATGGCCAAGATCATCTTCACCGAAGTCGCCAACGCCGCAGGCTTCAACCTCGCCGACTCGCTGACGCTCAAGGGCGACAACCTCACGCTGAACTTCGAGTGGTCCTACGACGCGACGGTGCCCTGCGACCCCAAGGCCAAGTGCCTGGACAAGTTCCGCGTCTACATCGGCAAGGCTGCTGCCGGTGCCTGGAACAAGGCGGCGACCGAGGCGGCCAAGAAGGTGCAGCTCAAGTTCAAGACGATGGACGAGAAGATGGGCAAGTTCGTCGCCGACGTGAAGAAGTACAACATCCGCGACGCGGAAGGCACGGTGCAGGCCGAGATCGACAAGTACCAGGCGGCCCTGCAGATCGAACTCGACGAGCTCATCAAGAAAGACATCGGCGAGGACTTCCTCGGCAAGGCCGAAGAGGCCGCGCGCAAGCAACTGCTCAAGGAGGGCACGAAGGTCGAGCCGTCCAAGATGAAGATCGTCAAGAAGGTGCTCAAGGTGGTGCTGCTGCTCGCCGTGGCGGCAGCGGCGATCGTCGCGGCGGTGATGACCGGCGGCGCGGCCGTGCCCGTCATCATCGCGGTGGGCACCTGGGTGGCGCTGGCCGTGGGCACGACCAAGCGGCTCGTGGCGGTCGGGTCGACCCTGCAGAAGCTGCACGCCGACCTGCAGAACAACACCGTGCAGATGGAAAAGAAGCTCGCCGAGATCGACGTGCTGTTCGACAAGGCCGTCACCTTCGCCAACCAGATGGAGGCCAAGGCGGACGCGATCGAGCTGTCGGTGCAGGAGCTCAAGAAGGAGATCGCCGAGGGCAAGAAGACGCTCGACAAGGTGGACATGAACAGCAAGCATCCGCTCGCCGGCCAGGCCAAGGACCTGCAGGCCAAGATCGAGAAGCTGGAAGCCGAAATGAAGAAAAGCGAGGCCGCCCGCGCCTACGCCGAGCCGCTGCGCAACGCGCTGGTGGAGTTCCGCAAGGTCAAGAACGACCAGACCTGGGGCACCAAGTTCGAGTCGGCCAAGACGCTGGCGACGGTGGCCAACTACATCGCCAAGGGCTTCAAGGACATCGCCAGCCTGATCGTCAAGTAAGGCCGGCGCTACTTGCGCACGTTGTCCAGGTCCGGCGGCGGCGTGTAGCCCAACTCACGCGCCCGCGCCTCGAACTGCGAGGCCAGCAGCGGCTGGCCGGTGCTGCGGAAATGCAGCGCCAGCTCATAGCTCGCGATGCCGTTGCCCAGGGCGACGGCAAACTGCAGCCAGCCCTCATAACGCGACTGCGCCGCGGAGCCGTAGCCCGCGACGCTGCTGCGGGCGCGCAGGGCCATGCGGGCGGCGGCGTCCTTGTCGCCGCGGCCACAGCGCAGCAGGTCCTGGCGCAGGTCTTCG